TTATTTAGATGATAGTCAAACAATAATTATGTCTGTTTTGACTAAATAAGTACTTGTATTAACTAAATCAGTTCTGTAGTTTCTACTAACAGTAACATTTTTGAGGCAATAAACTTGTTTGAGTAGTATTTAGAAAAAAAAATAGCTTTAAATTTCTATCCCTTTGTGTATATAGCTACATTGCATACATGATAACGTATGGCATAAGTGTAAAAAGGATAGATGTAGTACAGTGTTGATTGATTAGCGCCGGTTGGGAAAGCCACCGTGCGAGGTTTCACCGTACCTGTTACACTAGACGCGCGTCACATCAGTCATCCATTAAAGCAAAAAAAAAAATACACCTCTAGGTTTAATAAAAAAATAAAAATTGTGACACATAGTTATATTATTAGATAGATATAAGCAAGGAGATCAAATAGAAAATAGGTTTTATAAACTTTAACAGTTTTAACTACATATAATATTTACCTGTCCTTGTTATGGTATGGGTATTCCAATATAACTTTACTGAGGCAAAGACGAATCTGTCTCGATTCTCTTTACTGTCATTACCAATCGAAAAAAACCCAAGCATATTGTTATTCATAGACGTTTTTATATTCTCTAACGCCCACACGAGACTAGCTTTTTATCCGTAAACAATATTTCTAGGCACTGTGTTTGCGTCTACAGTCATTCATGCTTCGTACCGGTTCTATATAGTAAGGCGAAAATGCCATGGTCGAGCGCTTGTGACGCGAGCTGATGTTAGCATAGCATTCTCTGCGCATTTCATGCATGCTATTGTTTTATGCCGCCTGAGGAGTAATTCAGAACATATTGTCAATTATTTGACGATTTATTTCCGCAATAACTGAATCATTATTTTATTCTGAGAATTAATACAGCCTCTTCGCACTGAATCATACGGTATAATTGTATATAGTTTGTTTTCCTGTAAAATATGAATTGCCGAAGCATGTTTACTTTGATAGTTTGGTTTGTGATGATGTCGCCTCATCGCTCATCATAGCCCACATGTTGGTGAGGTCATTGCGATAAAAAACTGTTTCAGATTCCAACCCATGTTCGCTATTATAATTCTCTGTTCCAGCGGACCGTCTTTTTTTAATTTTAATTGCTATATCTTTGCTTTGAAGGCTATCGAAATTAGCAAATGCGTAAGATTACTTTCCATATTTATTGACATAACTTTTTGTTATTTGCATAGATATAAACACAACTCCAAAAGGATTTATTATCGTTAGGCTGGATGTACTCGTTTGCTGTAATGGTTGTGCGCACGCAATCTCGTTCGTTCTCCCAAAGTGGAATGTTGCTTTTTGTCGCCTGTAATTCCGATTGCTCATTGGTTACTGTGCTCTATGGTGCGACTGATATGTTGACATTTGTATTCTATTCATATTATTTCTTGATTCATAATATTTTGCAAGTCCAGAACCTTCAAGTTATCGATCGTGTTCTTCTATGGATCTCACAATCAAACTCAGGCTGAAATTTTATTTTGGAATAGCACTTGATATCAGAATTTATAATTCCTGAGTAATATTTATATTCCAGACAACCATTATTATTCATTTTCCGAATTGGCATACTTAGTACGGCTGGCGAAGCGCGACGATCCGCCTGCGTGACCCCGTTCCCACGCCAAATGCCATCACCTGGCGGCCACCACTACTCCCGCACCATTCAAACTAACAATGATCATGCGTCCTTGGCGCGCTCATACAGAAAACACCAATTACAGGTTATCTTAGGACGTATTACTCGTTACTACGAATAATACGAATTGCGTAATTTATGTACCTAACATATTTACTGGAAGAAGTGCACATTTCTTCAACACTTGACGAAAGGCATACCCATCCGTAGACGGGTGAAAGTGGTGTTCCGCGACCAGAAGACGACCTTGCGTTTATCTACCTGTCACGTAACAAATCTTGCCGTGATTCAAACTCACTTGGGACCAGTTCTGTTCTACTCACTTTACTCTTAAAGCTATTATGAAATTCGAAGAAAGCTCTTGGAAACATATTCTTTAAATGGCGGTTATTAACAGAGTTACTAGCATGTCTAGTCTTGCAATGAATATAATCGTCCGAAGTAACAGGTCGGCATAGGGTCAAGTAAAGTGCCAAGGCGTCGTCCGCAAACTGGGTTAACGGTGAACGAGAAGTCTCACTGGCATCTCTGTCTCTCCCTGCATGTATTTAAGCAGTGCTCATGTATGGTTGCAATTAATGGCGTTGTGTACTTTTTTATTTTTACTCTTGTATTCACGCACGTTTTCTTGAGATAGAGTGACATTGATTCAGCTCTCAGTTATTCCCACGTGCAAATCAGATATCAACTTTATTCAATTAACATATAGATCATAAAACGATCGAGAAGAAATGCTATTCCATTCTGCATTTGCGCGAACAAGAACAGCTGATTGTGCAGCGATCGCGGCCGCGGGGTCAACGACCGTACTTTCGCCGCTCCCACGGCTGACTGCTGCGTTGCTCAATTCTTAGTGTGAGGCTTCTAACATTCTGCTAATTAACGTGTTGTATCTAATAAGTATACGAACTGCCATGACATATGACTACATGCGATAATAATAGAAGTAGCGTCATGTTATATATATGACTTTTTCAAGCTAAGTGTTAAATGCTTAGTATTATAAAGGAGAACACGTATCTTTACGTCGCTTCGATATCAACCTACGCGTTTCTATGTCGCATCACCTGTTACTACTGAGATCATACTCCGAATTAAAGGGTGTACTAACATCAGTCATAATGTTTTCTATGCCATATTTTTTTTCATACTGACTTATAGTAAATATAATGTGCCTTTTCAAAAGCCCGACTCTATAGTGGAGAAGACGACAAGATTCGTTACAACTACTATCAAGAAGCTTGCCTCTCCTGAGGAAGATGACGAAGAGGCCGCTTATGATAGGGGCGATGATCTGGTAAGGTTGAGGGTATAAAATAAAGCTAGAGTCGCACGGTAAACGAGCTAGATAAAATGTTTGTAGAAGGAAGATCAACAGTAACGCTCGTCTTATCTCCCTCGTAAAATATTATAACTACTTCGTGTTCATCGCGTTGACCGTTTTAAGAGTGCACACTTGAAGTATCTCGCTTGTTAACGATTTGCACGTCCGAACAAAATACAGCTGATTTGTCACGTTCCGTTGAAAAATTGGTTACACTACTTCAACAGAAAACAAATGATCAATTGTTATGTTTATCTTGTCTTATATGTATATCGTTATGTTGTTCAGATATTTTAAATGATATTTTAACAGTATATTGAAATATACGTAGTGCTATTATATTGAATTTATTATTTTATCCGGTTTATATGCTGCTCTCTTATTTGAAGATTCTTTAAATTGTTTTTTATTTCTTTAAACGATCTTATCAATAATACTCGTAGTATATCATCAATATTACTAAATGGTAAATACCTTAGAAACTTTATCTTTAATACGACAGTCATCGTGAATTAACATAATTGCTTTTACGTTTGTTTCTGTCGTTATTATAAGTATATTATAAATAAGTCGTACAGTTGTATTTTGTCCTCGTTTCCATTGTCGTCATATCAACGGCCATTATCTTATCCGCTGATCTCGTGTCGCCATTACACAACGTTGCCGAAAACACCTGTTATCATGGCAGCATTTATATGCTTTACTCAAGATAGTTCTTTCCGCTTAATTTACTAATTATAGTAAAATAATTCGAATCAGATGTATGTTTGGGCGTACACGGTTATAAAACTGCAACTGCAAATTTTAATATCACTTATTATAAATGAGACTGAAATAAATTCTTAATAATTAAATATAAATAAATAAATAACTTCATCCAATACGAGTATGTCACGTTTTAAAAAATTTTTGGCGCAATGTTAAGAGTCGATATTTAAATTAATCTGCAATTATACAAGGTGAGATGTCCTATTAGATCATAATTAATTTTCCTATTACCTTGAAGAAATTATGATATCAGAACACTATCGACTAATTAAGGATATGGTAACATTATATTTTCCCAATGTCCCTTGAGATCTGAGTCACATTCTCAATTTAAGAATCGTTTAAAGTAATTATGATGTCCTCCTTAATTACAGTTGTTTTTAACTAATTTAGACCAACTTCACTAATAATGGTACTTTAGATAATAGTCTTTATTTTGATACATGGTTTGTGACATCATTGCTGTGAACAAGTTTAAAATTATTACTAAATAAACAAGGTCTCTAGTTAAATATGCGGAGCTGATCAAAATTTATAATCCAATTTCTAGTTTTACATTTTCTCATTAGGACTGCCATCTTAATTCCTTTAAATAACAATTTATAATTTAATCAAATGTAGTTTAATCTATGAAGTAGTATCAAATCTTAAATAAAATCTACCAATAAAAATGTCTACATTTTCTATACATTGTGTTTTATTATTATTGCTGTAATTACGCTACGTTTGTATAAGTTTGATTACTGTAAGCTATATCACATACTCTTTAGAGTTTCACATTAGCCAGTAACTGGCGCTGAATTGTAATTAATTGTTGCCTTTTTAACGCTCCCCCTGGACCTCTTCATCGGCACACTGCGAAGTCAGGGTCGCTACCGTTCTCCAGATGGGTAAGATTTGTGTGATATTAGTGTGTATGTGTATGGACTTAGTGATATTACGGACGCACTCTTTTAAAGTCAATTTGCGATGTATTGTAAACTTCATAGCGTTCTGTCCTACTCTAAGGTAGGACAACCGATTATATAATCGACGATATATTCTTTGTCGATTTTGAGAGTATAGTACCAGCTCTAATTGTATTTTGTTAGCGTTTAGTGTTATCTTAATGTAGAAGTTTTTTCTATCCTTCCTTAATCATAACCAAATTTATACCATAACCTTCCAAACTGTCTACACTTTCTCCCATAAACTTAACTGATCTGATTTCGATCATATTAATAAAGTGCGTTGCTCTTTGCAGGTGATGCAGCAAGACGTCAAGAAAGAGAACCCACTACAGTTCAAGTTCCGTGCCAAATTCTATCCCGAAGACGTGGCTGACGAGCTCATCCAAGAGATCACACTCAAGCTCTTCTACCTTCAAGTAAGTTTATAGGAAAAAAATGAAATAAAATGCTACTGGACGATACGCCACTATACATTCAGCGAATTCCCATTTTGTACTATTTTTGTGTATGAATTGTGGAGTGCTTATGATATTCATAGGTATATACGACTTTGTATAATCTTGCTTCGTTGTGCATGTCAAAAATCATAACGATTCGTCACTCTGTCTTGTCTTGAAGAAAAAGAAATATCCCACCAATGAAAAAAGGATTTCGTCTTTTTTACACACCCGATGTCAAGTGTCATCATGCACGCAACGTTAACTTTCTTCCTTCTTCTTTTTCTTTACTCGTTCCTCTTTTTTCCAGGATCCACGAATATGATTAAGTTTATAATACGAATATTGGTGTGCGCAGGTAAAGAATGCGATCCTCTCTGACGAGATATACTGTCCACCGGAGACGTCTGTGCTGTTGGCGTCGTACGCGGTGCAGGCGCGGCACGGCGACCACAACCCGGCGGTGCACGGGCCCGGCTTCCTCGCCAACGACCGTCTGTTGCCGCAGCGAGTCACCGATCAACACAAGGTCAGTATGGGATAGGGGGCAGACTAGCAGACGGATCACCTGATGGTAAGTGATTACCGTCGCTCATGGACACCTGCAACACCAGAGGGGCTACAAGCGCGCATATAAATCTGAATCATCTGAAGTCAGTTTTAACCGAATAAATTTGAAAAATACAATATGCATTCCAAATGAGCGTGACGTTATAAGCGAGATGAATAAATTGTAATATAAAATTAATTTCAACTTAATCGCTTGTAATACATGAACTTATTTTATAAGTTTTATCTATCAGCTTGTTTTTGTGTTACACTAACCTATGCTCATTATTTTTCTCTTGAGTGTTCGTTGCGTTCCAATTATAAGAGCTGATAAGTTTTTTTGACCCCATTTTTCTTGTCAACCAAATGACGTTTTGAAAGATAAAAATGTTGGATGACTCAAGCGAACTTTCAATAAGCTTGTTTGAATAAAAAAAAATATTGATTTTGAATAAATGTCATTTTAAAAATTCATGACCACAAATGCCAGTGATATTGTTTCAGGCAATTGTGCACCTTATCTGTTTAAACTTTAATTATATCTAAAAAAATCTCATACTTTATAAAAAAAAAAAAAACAACGTAATGGGCTGTCTGTACCTAGTAGTTACCCAAATGGTATAACAACATGTAAAATAATGAACACACATCCTTATAGTAGTTTGTTTAAAATCGTAGTAATTAAATTATTTTCAGTTTTCGTTTTTTGATTATAAAATAATTTTCTAATTGGGGTTAGGTATAAGGATGTGTGTTATTTCTGTTACACGTTTTCATAGGACATGTATTAAAATGGTTGCTGGTTTTAAACTATGTCTAAAATTGAAATCAGTTCCATAATATAATTTCTTTATTTAATTATTACATGTAGTGATTTTTAATCTTGATAACTTATCTCGTTTGTACTGTTGCACTTGCTACTGTTTATTAGTGGAAATGAGATATCAATTAGCCTTTTTATGATTATGATCAGGCTTATATTTCGATTGAAAATCTTTTTTATTTCTTGTTCAAACAAGAAACAACATGTTTAAATTATAGAAACTTAGTAGTGCTGTTGTTTTATGTATTTTTATGCTAGTAATTAGCAATAGTGAAATATTTACACTTAATATCTGTTTCGTGTGTTCGATGACTAAATGCAAATGCTTAGTAAATTAATCATTAATAAATTAAGTGGGTTCACGAGGGTGATGTCATTATTAAGGTTTTTTTAGTAAAGTACTGAAATGAGATGATGTGGAAAAAAAATATCGACCGAGAGTTCATTACATAGAAATTGCACTATTTAGGTAGTCTCGACAGACTTTGCGATCGCCATTTAACTGAATTCGGTCGCTAGCTCATAGCGATCGCAAGTCTCTACAATTGAATGTATCGTTGTTTGTAAAGAGCGAACAGAGTTCAACTGTCATGTTGTTGATATTCCCTAGCTATCAGAGATGACAGCTCGGAAAGTGGGCTTTGCGTTCTCTTGGTAATTGCTATCTATGTCTAGACTATGCCCAGGACCTGTAGTCTTAACAGAGTTTACAATCGCAAACTAAAAGAATTCAATGTGTAATATAACGATTATTACAAGGAGAAACTTGCACAGTTGAGTAAATAGTAATATTTCTTGATTTCCTAGCGACAGTTTGATCTGTCACCTTTGCGATCGCTACTTGACGATTGCCGCGCTCTGAGACTACAATCTCGACAGACTTTGCGATCGCAATCCCAATGAACGCTAACTCATCGCAATTTAACGATTATTGCAAGTGTCTGGTAGCTTATGAGTATAATAATCGATAACTCATTAAAAGACTAATATTTACCCTAATATTCCTAGATGTCACGAGAAGAGTGGGAACAGAGCATAACCAACTGGTGGCAAGAACATCGCGGTATACTCCGCGAGGATGCAATGATGGAATACCTGAAGATCGCTCAAGACCTGGAGATGTACGGTGTCAATTACTTCGAGATTCGCAACAAGAAGAACACTGAACTCTGGCTAGGTGTCGACGCCCTCGGACTCAATATCTACGAGAAAGATGACAAGTCAGTATTATTACTATACAAGCGATTTTGTATGATTATTGGATACAAATATTAGACAATTGTACATCGATGTCTAGTATATATCCTCTCTGTCTCGCTCTCTCTATGCTACTTTCTCTTTTTCTCGTCCAGTATCAACTTTACGTTCAATTATTATCATGAGTCCATAAAAAGTTGCAATAAGACTACCCCCTGACTTGTATCATATGTCAATTCGTGTATTATGGTTTTCGGCAGATTGACGCCAAAGATCGGTTTCCCGTGGTCGGAGATAAGGAACATCTCGTTCAACGACCGCAAGTTCATAATAAAGCCGATAGACAAGAAGGCGCCGGACTTCGTGTTCTTCGCGCCGCGCGTGCGCGTGAACAAGCGCATCCTGGCGCTGTGCATGGGCAACCACGAGCTGTACATGCGCCGCCGCAAGCCCGACACCATCGACGTGCAGCAGATGAAGGCGCAGGCGCGCGAGGAGAAGCTCGCCAAGCAGGCGCAGAGGTACGCGTGCACACCCAGCGGTCGGTTACGGGATGGGTGGCCGGATGTTCATTGTTTTAGGCTCGTGTATTTTAGATGATTCTACAGGGAAGGCTTGTGCCCCAGTAATTGCAGCATGCAATGGCAAGTTATTTGACGGGCTCAATGACGCGTTGATAGCGTTCCTACTATTGCGGCGAGTCGTGGGTTTGATCGCCACTCAAGACAAACATTTTTGTGATTAGCAATTATGTCTGTTCTGTGTCTGGGTGTTTTCTATTTATATTATGTATATATTTGTATTCCCCCCCGTTGTTTTTGATATCCGTAACAAAAGTGCCTAAGCTACTTACCACGGAATAGGATCAATGTGTGTGATGTTGTCTTATTTATTTATTAAAATGGGGACAATCTGCTAATGTTATTTTTTTTTCATCAACATCAGTCTATTGATGGCACAGGTCTTTTCAGTGGAATCGTATAGTTTTCCCAATCGGGTCTGGTCCACTGGTTCAAAATACTCGTCTTAATGTAAATAAATATAAATTTTTAATCACTTGCATTTTCGTGTTTTAAAAAATAGTCCTAAAGTCGTCGTAGCGAAGACTATCCCTTAAAAAAGACGTGTCAATATGAAAGTTGGTGCTGCTTTTCGGCAGGAAAACTTAATTTAGTTTTTTTGCATACATACGTATACATATATTGTATACTATTCTTGTCTCTTTTCAGGGAAAAATTGCAATTGGAAATCGCAGCTCGTGAACGCGCTGAGAAGAAACAACAGGAATATGAAGACCGTCTGCGTCACATGCAGGAGGAAATGGAACGCTCACAGGTATAGAACAAACGACGTATTTATATAAGTAATGTTAAAACCTAAGATTTATATACCCTATAAAGTTTTCTTATTATAGTTATTTAAATGCCCATTGTTTGATTCGGAGACGATATACAGTCAACAGTGCGCAATTTCTGCCATTTTACTTCTTCGTTACATTGATAATAGAGTTCAATATCGAAAATTTAACAGTACTAGTTATATTTTATTTGACTTATTCTGTAAAGGAACTACCTTGAACATTATTATTTTAACACTATTGAACCCTTCATACTATAAAAGTTAATTAAATAGTTAATAGAAAAAGCACGATAATATAAAGTTGCCTTAGCATCTTTGGATACCACATCTGATACACTCTGTGCTTGTCAATTGTGTAATAGGGATGATGACTGGGTAAAAAAAATGCAATTCTATTTAGTCCGTCAGTCAGATAATAGGAAAATATTAGATACGTATTTTTTTTTTACTTCAATTTAACAAGAAATAGCTTAGATAATAGGCATTAAAATTGAGGAGTGGGGGCTCGCTACGTCACAGTTGAGTAGAAAACGTACTCTAACGTGACGTCATGCGAAATTTAACTCAATATAACGCCGTAATTTTATGATTACGAAAAAAATTGAAAAATACGTGTTTAATATTTTTTAACACTCTACCTGACGGACAAACAAACAAAAATCAGTCATCATCCCTATTGTATGTTCAATAAATTCTTCTTTTTATTTTGCAGGCGAATTTATTAGAAGCGCAAGACATGATCCGGCGGCTGGAGGAGCAGCTGCGACAGCTGCAGGCTGCCAAGGAGGAGCTGGAACATCGCCAGAACGAGCTGCAGGCGATGATGACCCGCCTCGAGGAGACCAAGGTCGTTATAACCTACTTTACGTACTCACACTCACGTTTCCCATAGGGAACATCATCATCTTCAATCTTTATCCTTACTTGCTGGTCCACTGATACTTATAGTACAATAGCTAGTGACAAAACAATATGCAAGTTTACGAAAAGGTTGATTTTTTTTAAATTGGGTGTCTATCACTCGGAATCCAAGACGGAGCGAATAATAAGCTGCTCAGACCGCGTAATTGTGGAATATGGCGGCTCAGCATGTCACAAAAAACTCTTGAATTTTTTTTTACAAGCTCTTTCAGTAAATCTTGAATTGTAACGTTTGTTTTCCAATTGTTTCTTATCTAATCGAATTGGAGAACACGTGTTAGTGTTAATCCAAATTAAAAGTGTTAATCCAATTTTCAATTGGATTTATTACTTTGAAATAAATCTCGTCTAAAGTTAATCGGAAATTAAATATAACTAGTAAATAGTTTTTGACAGATGGTGTTATAAACGTTGTTTTTTTGTGTCAATAGAACATGGAGGCGGCGGAGCGTGCCAAGTTGGAGGAGGAGATCCGCGCCAAGCAGGAGGAAGTGTCCCGCATACAGCAGGAGGTGGAACAGAAAGACACCGAGACCAGACGCCTGCAAGAGGAGGTCGAGGAGGCGAGACGCAAACAGGTACATACACTCTCTCTTTTTTTTTCTATCTAGAATATGTTAGTGACAGCGGCTCAAGATGGCGTCATCTGCGCAACCGAACCAAAAGTAAAAACGTGAAACTTTGGTTCATAGACATGATGTTAAACAGTTTCTTGCAGCATATGCACAGGATTTGGCAAGTCTTGGCGTCGTCTATCTCTTATAAGTGTATCCTAACTAGTTGCGGAGCTTAAATGTGGATATTTACAGTGGGATCTATCATTTGGCGAGCTGTGAAAAGGACTTTGTAGTTACTCAGAAAGATCATCTCTGATATGACGTGATCCAAAATAGAACAAAAGTAATCTATTATATCCAAAGAATATAGAAACAGCTCATATATAACAATCACAACTCGCTGACGTCACACTTTAATATTTCGTCTTTTGTTATATTCAATTTTAAGTTTGCACGCATCCTTTATTTTGTTACTCTTTCTTAAAACTCTTGGCCAGTCATGCTTTTGTTAGTGCGTGTGGGAATCGAGGTGTCATTTATATTACATTTTAAATCTGCTTGTTAAGACGACTTACCTTCTATAACGTATCGAACGCGCGTAAAATGCCTCCGCGTATACTGCTGTATATATATCCATATATTAATATGTAAAGCAAAAACATTGGACCCTTTTTACGAAAATTGCGAGGATGCAGGAGTATGAAATTTGGCTGCAAATGGTTAATATTTTTCAATAATAATGTTTATAAAGTACATTAAATCGAAAATAAAACATTACACACACTACTGTGCATTTGACACACACAAACAAGTATTTGCTACAGGCATACATGTACCCTGTGGTCAAATTGTTTCTTTTGACATATTTGTTTTTTTCTTTTGATTACTGGCTTCGTACTCTGTGGTCAAATTGTTTCTTTTGACATATTTGTTTATTTCTTTTGATTACTGGCTTCGTACGATTTGTGCATTTAGCCAGTGTCAAGTTTTATATGTTTACCATAGACATCTATTTATATGTTTGTGATGTTTACTGTGGTCTTACTGAAATGTTAAAATAACATCTAATTAAAATTGATTATGGTGGAATTTCGACCACTGAACGATCATTAGTATATTTATACATATATTATATAGTAAAAATTTCAATTAGTTGTTTATATGTATATATGTGTGTGTGCGCGCGTAGGACGAGGCGGCGGCCATGTTGGCGGCGGCGCAGACCCCGCAGCACCACCACGTGGCGGAGGCGGGCGCGGGCGCGGAGGGCGCGGGCGGCGACAACGACGCGGGCTCCGACGGCGGCTCCGAGTCGGGCGGCGGCGACCTCACGCGCGCGCCCGACGGCCTCGTGGACCCGCTCGCGGACCGCACCACGCTCGCGCAGCGCTCCGAGCGGCTGCACTCGCAGCTCAACGTGAGTGGACACTACTATCTGTACATGTACAACTCGTCGACGATACACAATGTATCGTTCATATATTGAGTGAATTTTTGGAAAAGAATCGATAGAGGTATATGAAAAAAAAACGATACAAAAAAAAGGGATCATGAAATTTTTTATAAGTGAATTTATGATTACTTATTGTGAAAATTATTATAGCAGTTGATATTTTAGTCAACCACAACAACAAAACTTAACAATAATAATGGAAATCAACAAAAACGAGTGTACTAATCGACCAGTGTTTATTTGTTAACGGTACTGATTTTTGAGAGTCATCAAAATGGCTGCCTGACTAATTAGTTATTTGCGGGGGATTATATCCATAGATATTACCGGTGGCTTCGTCGGCGTTGTTTTCCCGTTTTCGCAACGTGTCTCATTGCTGCTTCGATATTAATAATCGTACCATAATGTTATATAGTATCTAATATTCAACACGATAGTAAATTTTATTTCGTACCAGCCCTACGATACTACAAAAATCCGAAATCGAACCCGAATTCGAATTCGCAATTGATATTAACGTTCCGTGGCATAAGTGAGATGAATTTCGAAATGACATAGGAATAGAATATGTATGATCAGAAGCATGTATGATCAATCAATTTTGTTTAGTATTTTGTTAAACAAAAGTTTAATGATTATAATTTCTATACTAAATAACTTGAATTCGGATGCATGAGGGAATTCGATTTCTGGTTCAGATTTTTACGGAACCAATCTTCTGCTGTTCCTGATATTAGCGCGTACAACTGAGCAAACAAACTCTTCAACTTTGTAATATTACTATAGGTACGAAGGTAACTCTGCCTGTGTGTCTTGTCACACTTTCACACCTAAACTACTGAACCCGGATAGAATACTTCTGGGGAAAGACAAAATAGTTTTAATCGCGATAAAACTGAATCCCAGAGGCGAAGCCTAAGACGAAAAAATTGTTTATAATTAACCACATTCATCCCATCAATAATGTTATTAGATGTCTGGTCTTTGTAATACGTTATTTCTAGTAGAGAATAAGAGCCACGATATATACTAAAAAAAACTTCAAATATATTTTTTATTCGTTGTATATATGACAATAAGAGATATTGAAGAGTTAAATCGAAACGATACAAATTTCTATGGATACCGATACATATCGTTTTCCTTCAAAGCTCATAATATTAGTGTCATTGTTTTTTTTTTTGCCTGCCCTAGAAATAATAGATTATAAGATGTAAACATCAATAGCTTATTTATCACAATGAAATTGTTCTAGGCCCTGAAACAAGACTTAGCGCAGTCCCGCGACGAGACTAAAGAAACAGCTATGGATAAGATCCACCGCGAGAACGTCCGCCAGGGGCGCGACAAGTACAAGACGTTGCGCGAGATACGCAAGGGGAATACCAAACGGCGCGTCGATCAGTTCGAGAACATGTAAACGTCGCACCGAAAGCGACTCTATTCCCGCACCATAAGGCCGCGTGCCTCCATCGTGTAAATATTGATTATTATTACTTAATAGTAATTTTATTTTAGACCATAATGTGCTATAACCGAATAATGTATACATTTTTGAAGTGGAACGACGTATATAAAATATTGTAATGGAAAGCGCTCGCCGGAGTTGCCGAATCGAGGCACACGCATTTTTTATCGATTGTAATTATAATTTTGAGCGATTTGGATTTTATAATGTAACCTTTTGTTTGGACGGACGCGAGGCGTAAAGCCGTGTGCTTCGAGTGGTCTGTTGATATACATATGTATTTTAAAATTGAAGTGGTGGACTCGTTTTTATTGTAGTTTAGTGATACGAGGTCGCAACGAGTCGCCGGGGTTAGTGGCAGCGCAGATAGTAGTGTTAAACACCGCTATGATGTTGTTGATACTTAATGTTTGCGAGTGTTGCTCAAAAAGATATAATAAAACGATTCCGAAGTGTCTTGTCTGATCGAGTGGCGGGGTGAAAGGGTGGGGGCGACGCCCCTTATTTATTTTTATAATCATTTATATTTTAGATATAGGAGTTAGAGCTTCAACTGTAATTATCATTATCCGGTTCAATTTTGTTATTCGCTCCTTCATGTTTCTGTAAATTTATGCTGATATTATTTTATTATGATACATTCGTATTGTGTTGTGTCGGTATGCTCGCCAGGATGCCGAGTGTTGATTTGGCCTACAATTATGTCTTATTTAACTTTTTGAACAAAAAAAAAAATTTTTTTTAAACAGTCACTGACTAAATGATCGTATGCAAAGTGTATAATTTAATGTATAAGTGAAAATAAAGGCATTCCAATAAGTTAGCGGTGGCGTTTACTCGGTTTGATGAAAATTAAAAAGAAAATAGCTGCAATAATATGTTTGCGTTTTGTTTTAAACATAAGTGCCATCCGTTGCATATCCCTGGTTGTTCAGAGTGAGCGTTTTACCCAGTGGCTTCTTTCACAACCCTCATACCGGTCACTCTCAGTAATGTTTTAAGTTAACATTTTATTCATTAGCTTCCTCCCGTCGGTTGTGAAGGATGCCCCTCGTTTCTCTGGTACTTACTACAGTATTCGACTATTTATCTTGTCATTATCTTCTAAAAAATATACAATACCATGTTGCCTTTCAAATTTTAGGATGAAATTTTTTTTCCAATAAAATGTTTAAGTAAATATGAAAGGTGTTTTATTTGTTTATTTTTTTTTATTACATTACAGCGATTATAATTAGTGTAGAACATATATTAATGATATTCTTTGATCTTATATTTAATTTCAGTCATTTAAATAAATCACAATCATAGAAAATTTACAGTATAGTCAGCGTCATAACCATCAAAGCGCCCGAGGTGATCAAAAGATATGAAGTAAAGAAGTTACATTTATTAGAATTGATTAAAAATCGATTCGAAAATAATTGTCAGTAGATAAATTTGAAGAAGTGATGCCAAGATATTTTGATCGCTGCATACTTAAGCCCCCTGTAAACGATCAAACTTGCTTGACAAATTTGCTTGTCAAACTTTACGTTTTCATCAATTAACAGCGCATACGATCAAGCCAAAGATCAACAAATTTGTTAAGTTTCGGTTTACTTTGTTATTTTCGCGCTAAAACATGTACGTAGAATATTAATCTTTTTCTTTTCATCCGTAATGTTCCGGCGATACATTTTCAGTAAATTAGTAATTTTTTTTAAATGCTATGCTTCTTTTGTTCTTGTCCATATAATCTTTAGATTTTACTTTCCACAGATTCAGCATATCACGATAAATAGATATGAAATGCAAGGTAAATTCTTTATCCGTAATAATATCGTCACTTTCCATTGTATTTTTTTATTTGGCCTACCTACCGTCTTCCAAGATGCAACACAACGACTGACATCCTGCTTGACAAACACCACCGTTCACGTACAAACTTGTTTGTCAAGCACGACTTCAATCTAAATTTTCATCAAACACGTCAAACACGTAGATTGTTTGACAAGCGCATCAAGCGTAGCTCCACACTATCAAAAAGTTTGTCAAGCACGTAAAGTTTGACAAGCAGTTTGATCGTTTATAGGGCACTTTAGATCAATATCAAATTTGGTTGCCTTGGCAACCATTTTATCTTGATAAAATCGAACTTCTGTACTTGACATCTCCTTGATCACCTTTAACGCTAAATTATTAAAACAGCGCTTTAAGAATACCAACTGAGAATAATAGTAAATAATTTAATTTGTCTCTAGGGAGTTGATGAGACATCCATTTTTATTAAAAAAAAATAGTACTAGGTTTAAGGCACAACTAAAACATACATACGAGTTACCAACCCAGACTATAGAGTTTTTATGGTATTTAATTTACAGATCTCAATAACTCCTCTGGCTTCTAGGTGGTAATGATGTGGCAGAGTAACTTCGCACTTCAACATACATTTATAAATTTAATATATTAAAGGTTATTTTCTGCTTATGGCGACACAAACGTATAGAATTTTTATGTACATTTATAAAAATTGGGGAGTGTATACATTCAAGAAAACATACAGACATTAAAAAAATATTAATATTTTTTTTTGGATTGAAAGTTTAAAATAGGGTTGTAAGAAGCAAATAAATAAATAAATTAAAAATACATTCAACTTTTTATAAACATATTAATTATTTACATATCTCAGGATTTCATCAATCCACATACATACAAATTTGGTTTTGTAATTTTATTTTTTATAATAGATTTGTAATAGTTACACATTGCAGAAAAAATATTAAGAATCGTTGCACCAAACAAACATATTTGGTCTGTCAACTCAACTAAAAAAATAACAATGTTTGTCAATTACTTTTACCCGACTACGACTACTAAGGGAGGGTTATGATTTCAGTCGGTATGATAACCCTCCTTTTTGCTTAAAAGAATGTTCATCTTGTGTTCCTTTATAACTTAGAAACTACTCATCGTAACTGGACAAATGAGGTATTATTAGAAGCGTACTAGTTGTCCACATGCTATTATAGACTATGTGGCATTACATTAAATTAGCAACAGCGCCCTCTAGAGAGCAAAAAGTAAGAAACTAAAAAAATATATATTATTCAATCATTCCGGGTATTAAATGAAAAGGCTTAACTTTTCAAATATTTTGCTTAAATATACCCGAAAATTAATGAAATAAGAAATTAAGTACAAAAACTAAAACCCGGTGATCATAACAAAACAAACTGTTCTGATATACAACTACGCTTTACAATTATACGCATACAATTTAGCTGTAATCGGGTTTTAGTATATCAACTTATTTCTTATTTTATTTAATGAATGATTTGACAGATAACCGAATGTCTTCGATATTTTGTATTAAATTGTGTATTTTTTTACTTTTTTGAACTAAAACTTATACATTAGGGTAATTTCGGTGATGACACTTCACAAACATTAAAATTTAAATTGGCAAAGACTTTTTTCTTTCGCCTACTTTGGCTCGGATTGATCGTCTGCAGATTTGATAACAGTAACATACAAAAAAATGTGTCTTTACAGGTCAATGAAGCTATTAGTTCGATCAACTTACCCTTACAACTTATCTGCTACATTTAGGGTGGATTTTTGAAATGAGACAGTTAGGGCAGGGAGTTAACGTAAACGTAACACACACGAAAAAGTAAACGTGTACTATTCTGAACTGCATTCATTATAGACTTTGAACAAAATAAACATTGTACGGTCAGTAAAAAAAAATACCAAAAAACCCAACAGTTCCCAACACTAGTACCCAACACTAGTGACGTAAGCAATAAATACCAGCGTAATGTTTCCGCATGCTCTCTCTTTCGCTGTATACCTTACTAGACGCACGATTTTCAGTTATGTTAGCTTCTCTCAGTTATGTTAGTCAAGAAATAAACCTCTACATTACAAACCAGCGTTTAATTACAAGTCCACCAACGGCCAACACACCATTTAAGATATGACAACTAGAAATGACAAATCGTCAAAAACATGCCCCATACATTTTCCACTACAAAACCAGAAATTATGGATAGTCTCCTAGAAACTTTTCATGTATCTATAATAATTACTGTGCCTTCCCAAAAATCTACACTAAAAAAGGAAAAAAAAGAAGATTCATCCTTTCCCTCTCACTCAGACTAAAGGACGTGACATTTCAAGACAATTGCTGTAGCAATGGGCTGTCTCGCCCTTATTTAAAGGGTATTACCGTTTAACTACTACAGAAAAAAATATGACGTGTCATTGTTCAGCAACATGCGTCTTGATGAGAGCAATCTAAACATGTGAGAGTCAAAAACCGTTTATTATAATCCGAGGTAATTTGATCACGAATAAAATCTTCATGCCGAGATAAGGTCAGCACCAGGAGCTTGCAAGGTTTTTAGGTTTAACGAATATTATAATATTGAAAAGAGATAGTCGAGAGCCTCGGTAGCGACCTAGGATACTTCCTACTGCAAAGAAACATCTCATTCAGTCATTCTACGCTCGCTGACATCGAGTGAGCTATCATTTCGAAATGCCATTTATTATGGTTATGATTGTGTCGTGTTTGGAGGTAGTCGTCCGTTATAATTTTGTTGGTGGGGGTGGAGTATCGTCGGAACGATGCGATTTACGCAGATGCCGCCGCAACGAGCTCTTGTCGCGGAAATGCCGCGAGCAGGTGTTGCACACGAACACTTTACCGCTGTGCACGGTCATGTGACGACTGAGACCTGGCGCCAACGATCAACGTGCTTGTGAATTTTACATACAATCAACAGCATTTTAAGTGGCAGTGGCGGACTAAAGAAGGGGAGGGAAGGGACGATCCGCCCAGGGTTCTTGTCCTGGGCGGATCGTACTGGCCTCCAAATGGCTGCAAGTTCCCTTGATCTGATCATAAATTGCGAGTTGTGCTACCATTTTTTCTTTAGGTGCTACAACAAGTTTCAATCGGAAAAAAGTCGTAGGTCTAAGCCTGATGTGGCCCCCGACGAGGTTAGTCCGCCACTGTCAAGTAATTAAATTTCTATTTTTTTTTGACCGAGCTTACAATCGTGTTACTCTGTGACATTAGCAAGAAATCTATCGTGTTAGAATCAATTCATGACTATGTCGAATTTTTGTATTAACTAAGATTTCCATAATTAAAATTTGACATTTGTCCTCGATTCTCATTGGTTGATGGTTTTGTGTGCTTAAGATATTGATGTGCTGCTTTTTGAAATGGAATAATTTAATAAGAAGTTGTCAATTGTCATTGGAATTTTATGCTGTAGATATAAATCAGGATGCCGTAGTTGAAGTGTTATTTTTTTGTATGTAATTCAGTATGTAGCCGAAAGTAATTTTCAGAGTACTCACCTGAGGCATAGAGGAAGACTTTAGAACAGAATCTACATCGGTGGAGCTCAAGAGCGCGAGCGTTTTTCGGAACGTGTTGGCGAGCATGTACGGCGAGCGCGCCACGCTGAGTGAAACTCTTCGGACACAACTCGCAGGCGAACGGTCGCTTTACTGCGTTCAGAAAGGATATACATAATTAAAAAACGTAGTACGAAATTACTTAATATATAATGGATATATATATAAAAACAATTTTAATGTACGTCAGATTACCACAATATGTCATATTATAGCAATTGATTTTCTACTCTACTCCTGATGCGTAAGGTTTAAAATTTAGTGAACAAAGACATCGTATGACATGAGCGCTGTTGACTGTCAAATTTGTTTAATGTATTTTTTGAACTTGTCTTAACTCAATTTATTAAGGTTTAAAATCGAGAGGGAAATTTGGCAGTTTTGTATAGTCTGGCTGTATATGCACCTTTATACGAGGAAAATGGCACGGACAAACAAGAGATTTATAAATAGATGCTCTCACAATCGATCACTCGGATACGCAAATAAGTTTTTTCTTTTATATTATACCACGTATGAAAATACTGTTTGTAAGTATTATGAATCACACTACTCACAGGGGACAACCTTGTTTCACCGATAGTACGTTATAAATAGATAATTTTTGGAAATATTTTTAGGCATCTAAAGCATCGACGAGACCGTGAACACTTCATATATAAAAAAAATGGGAGGAAGATATGTTTAGATAGGACCAGTTGTGTGATGAGATACACCTTGGTGTCAATAGGTGAGGTAACTGATCTTAATGTGTCAATAAGACTGAAGTGGCAAATGGTGTCAGGAGGTGATTGGTCTAGGTATAAGATAGTGGGATGATTGGCCTTGTTAAGATGCGTATGTCTGTCTTTGTTATGTGAGATAATGATGATGATGGTGGTGATGATGATGATGATGATGATGATGATGATGATAATAATAATAATAATAATGTCTTTATTTGCAATAACTAGGGTTATATGTACATATACAGTGACGATATTAAACTTTGAGTGAGAGTTTTGACCTATTTAGCCATCTTAAATAGCATGCAAAAAAAAAGATGTAGGTATTACAATGACTAAACTTAAAATATTTCATAAAAACATAGAATTATGTCAAACTTAACAATATCAATTATAGTAGTACATGTTAAATTAATCAAAATATTACAATTGCATAAATAATTGAAAAAATAAACATCAAATATAATTATAATAATCAAGGTACATACAGTTTTATTAAATCAATTCAAACATCAATATGTGCCTTTAAATTTGCATGTTATATTATATTTATATCAACATTTGCAATTTAACTAGTCATCGATCATGTCAATTTTATCAAATTGTACAAAAAATAAAATAAAAAATATATATAGATGGCAAATGGAAATATATAAATTTAATTGAACATGTCAAGGAATTTAGTTTAGTAAACATAAGTATGTCAGATGCAAATATGTATGTCGCATCATCTTTACGAAGATCGTTTGATTTAGTTTCTTTTAATTTCATTGGGATGGTGACACTGACTTTGACAGTTCGTTAAGAAAAAGCAAGTTGCCGCCAAATTTTGGCACATATTCTGTTTCCGATCGTCGAGGAGTAAAGACATCCGACGACGTCACGCTCATCTCGTTATATTTTCGTATGAAGTGATAAAATGGAACAAATCCACGTTGGTATACACGCCTGCAGTGTTATTTTAAAGATAGTCCTCCGATATGGACGATCTATTTGGGCTTCGTAATAGGTCCTTCTGACTACACGCCGACATGTAAAATATGTTATTTATAAAACTTTGTATCGACTTTCATGCCATGATTACTGATAAACTATCCTTCGGTAAGGAATTCACTAACCGAGTAGAAAGCTTTTTCAATCAACCATTCACGCAATAATATTTTAAAACGAGTAGCCGGCACATCTTTTATATATATTAAAGATAGTTTTACATATAAAGTGACTATATTTAAATATTTTTTTGTTTTGGGTATCAATGTATGTACTGGTTTGTTTGGGTTTCTCAAACTTCTTTCAGTAACATGTCTCGATCGTACGAACAATTTTTCATTTTGCTTCACAAACATCACCACTTCTAATAAGACAGGGCAGTGTTAATATTTTTAAAGAAATAAAATAAGGTTTACAATATATGTCTGATGTAAAATTGCATATAGATGTTGAGGGAAACTGACTACCGTGTCAGATAACAGGGTTATTGACCTTAATCGGGGAGTGAAGCTACTAAAGCCAGATTTTTAGATGTTCTTTTCTGATTGATATCGTTTAATCTATTAAATAATATACAGTGTCTGTTCTGTTTTGTGTACATATCGGTATGACGTCATGAATATGGCGGACTGCATTTTCGCAGTTTTAATTTTTTAAATTTTGATTTAATTTATTGTATTGATTGAGATTATTTTTTATGGCACATTTAAATTATAATAAACACTTACAAGTACCATTTCAAACAGACTAGAATATCCTACGGTAGAAGTGTGATAGATAGTATAGTGTAGGATTAAGCTGGGCGCATAGGCAGTGGCGTAACTACAGGTTGGCAGAGCGGCAAAATGCCACGGGCCGTCAGCTGGAAGGGGAGAGGAGATCAGATCAGGAGTCAGAGGAGACTCCTTACTCCTGACATTTATTATTACGCAATTAGTAAACAAATTTAATATCCGATGAAATTGCCACGGGCCTCAAACGGTATAGTTGCGCCTAGGAGTGTTATCTGTGGATGGACAGCTGACAGCGACTGACCTTGGTGCGTGAGTTCGTGCCTGGTCATGACCTCCCGCTGCGCGAAGCGGCGGCCGCAGCGCGCGCACGCGTACGGCCGCTCGCCGGTGTGCACGCGCTGGTGGCGCGCCAGCACGCTGCGCGACGCGAACAGCTTGCCGCACGTCTCACACCGCCGGTCGCTGTACATACTGTACGATACGATGTCATCAGTACCACATCATATTCTTAAAAAAAATCTTAAAAAATCCACTCTTCCCTGCACGCGTAGCATGACAAACTCGAGAACGTTTTGTCTACACTCAAATGTCACTTTTCTCGGGTGCGCCCATTCTATATCTCACTCTCACCCGAGAAACTGACAAATGAGTGTAGACAAAGCGTTTCTCGAGTTTGTCATGCTACGCGTGCTGGTACTCAAACCCATGATCTTTCACCCATATTGCCGATTTACTTTTCATTAAGGATATTTTTCGGTACAGCATCGTGAATGTTAAATTGATTGCTATACTTTTGATTTACCACTTTTGCGGTATAAATATTAGTAAGATTACTTACTCCTTTTTGAACAGTTAAAATAATCTTATAAGACAATACAGATATAATTAAAATGACAATTTGAATAGTAAAACGGTGATTACTATGGTAATGTTTTAGTTCCCTATACAAAGTTCCAATCTCTTTTCATCCTTTTATTTTCAGTTTTTCAGAATAAAATGTAGCCAATGTCCAATGCATTTGATGTAGCTTCCCGTAAGTGAAAGAATTTTAAAAATCGGTCCAGTTTATTCGGAGCGGAGGATTCATTGCAAATGAACAAAGAATCAAGTTTTTCCTATTTATAATATTAGTATAGATAACATGTATATTATAGCTTTTCGTCAGCGGCTTCGCCTGCATTGTCCCTAGGGAACTGTGTATTTGGATATTGATTCATATTATGTTTGACATGGATTACTCAGATGTACAATCTTCAGCTTTCTTCTTTACTTTCTGTCTGTGAGATCTGGGTGAATGGCTAAGATATGACATTCCTTACAAGTTACAAAGGAGGTGTTTGTAGTGATTCCAATCTAATATATATTTTTTTAATATAATGAACATGTTTTTGATCCTATATAATAATAAATTTTTGAATACTTCAAATATAAATAAATCTAGATTCTACATATTGTTTACTATATTTCAATTAAGTACTTAACTATAATAATTATATTAATTACTCAGTAAGAATAGTATTTTCTCAACTGCCTACTATTTAAATTGGTTACCAAAATTTATATATACCAGCAAATAAAAATATCGTAGCTCAGTTTAAGAAGAGTTTAAAAATATAACAAAAACAATTTTAAAAATTATTCTTTTGTATAATTCAATTTTATTATTGTAACACTTAAACTGAATTATAATGGTGTACTTTGCATGTGCCAACTTACTCTTCTTCTTTGAATTTTATGTTAAGTCTTTTGAGATCCAGTTTGTTCTTAGGTTCATCAACAACATATTTCATTTCTGAAATATTTTCATTAAATTTGCTTAAAGTCGGTTCCTCTTTGCTGGCTGATATAGTTCCTTCCTACAAGAAATAAACATAAATTAGATGTTAATATTACTAACGTAACAGTATTGTAGTGAAGGGAATCTTACAAAATGAAATCACCATGTCTTCTTCAACAAGTTCTAATATAATTTTAGTCTGATCTTCTCCTTCCAGCTCCACTGTCTTTAGGGTCTCATCAACCATAACCAATGTCCCATCTGTCTGCTGCTGCAGTACCCCAAGTTCAATTAGTATTGAAGACAGAACCATTGAGACAGTATTTGATTCTTCAATTTGTAATACAGGCAAATCTGTGCTTGATATATTTTGTACCTGAAATATTATAGTACATACATCATGAACTAAGAACACAATATGGGTGAAGCACAAACTTTTCCTTCCATGTACAGTAAACATGATAAAATGTAATTCAAAATTAATAAATATCTCCCAGTGGTTTAAAATAAGAACCCGAAAAGAGATATAAAAACATCTTCAAAACTGGGAGGTTTTAAGATTTTTTGATAATGTAAAAGCTAATAGCAAAACTTTATTGGCATCAGCTAGAATCAAATGCACTCAATATTCAATTACTACTGGAGCTACCACATTAAGCGGTGTATAACTTGTTAAGTAAGCTTGCATTAGATGCAAGCGAGTGCTAAACAAATGAGTGACATGGTTGGTGTAGCTGATTCCAAAGTTTAAAATAATTTGGCTTGCCAATAACTAAAATACCTGTAAATTAACTATCTGTGCTCCATTAATGACATTAACTACTTCAGAAGACTCTTCCCCATTTAATGACAAAACCAAAGTTTGCATATTTGTTTCTTCATGATTGTTTAACTTATCAATATTTTCTGATTCAGATGTTTCATTATTATCTAAACTCTTCTGACGTTCCTTCTCTCTAACTGCTAGAACATGAGATTTTAACTTCTGATAGGTCATCTCACATTTTTTCCGGAATGTATAGTATTTTTCTAGTTCATCATAACATTTTAAACAGATAGCATTTGGAAGACAATCTTCTCGAGTTATCTGTAAGCAGAGAGTATATCTTACTGAAGAAAATTTTTACAACTATCTCACTAATCATTTAGTCCTTAGTTAAACATAATGTTTGTTCATAAGAATTGATTGTTGAATAGCATATTAACTTATTTATTTTCAAACCTTAATTTGTCAAGTGTAAAATTCAATAGTGAAAATTTAATTATTATAATTCTAAACAATTGATCTTAATAATAAATGACTACAATAATTTGATAATAATTACTTAATAACACATGCTTTTAAATAATCACACTAAATTAATTCAAACCAGGATATTATGAACATGTATTGTTACCAAAGATGGTTTAAAAATGACATTTATTGTGTCTAAAATATAGGTGAAACATTATACAGGTCATGAATTTTCATATTTAGCATGTGCACTCAATATCTGCTAAACATAAATTTTCAGTGAATAACTGATTTCAAAATTGGAAAGCTTTAACATGGATTAACTGGATTTAAAGACTTTGTATTCATTAAATAATCAGAATTTATGGTCAAAATTAATGGTGATTAGCACTATTGACAGTAAATATATTTCTTTACCTCCAAACCTACACATATCATTATCCTAAGAGAAAGTGCACCACAAACGTCGCTCTCAGAATCTTCTGTAAAAATTTGAACAAAAGACGTAGCTTTTTCTAAACACAATCTGCATAATTCCTGGACTCCTTCTATAAATTGATATTCAGGCTTCTTCCGTGTGTAAGTGCGCATTGTGCTTTCCCACGCTTATTTCTTCTTATTTGGATATTGACAGATTTCAGTAATTTTTAAATTCTTTTACACTCCGCTCCACTTTATAAAAAGTTTTTATGATAACCTCCAAATTTATTATTTAAATTATATTAGGAATGGACATAATAAAACTGAAAATGCCTTGCCTTTACTAAAATAGTTTCCAAGTGAATATATATTAGTTAACATTTAAAATATTATGTTTCGTTCACATATTTAATTTATTTATTTTTATAATTTTATAGACTGACATTGACGTTTTATGGTTCGTCTTTTTTCATTAAGACAATGGAATCTATCTATCTAGTTAGTCCATACAGCCTTTTTTTTCACTGATAATATTTTTCCTTTTTTCGTCTATGACGTTCATTTTGGAGTTTTTGAACCAAAACCAAAAAATCTCACATTTACCATGGAAGTTTTAAGTTTATTGTAGGAATGCAGTGTTCCAAAAAAAGAGGTTAACCCATACTCATAGTCACGCACCGTATTATTCCATTGTATTCATTTATTATCAAAGCATTTATATAATGCTTACTTTCATGATACTCGGCAGAAGAAGAATATATTATAATAAGAGAAAATAGATACTAGGGTTGTATTATAATTTACTACTTTTAAAATAAACTAACTTTTACAAACAAGCCCAAACTCTATTTTACCTAGGTATTGCATTTTTATTCGAAATAAAAAGTATAGCATCTGTATCGGAGTATAGCATATGTTGCTATAACTCTAGCCATAGCTATGTGATCATTCTATATATTTCACTAATGAATATGGTAATATTTTAAACGATGTTCTTGTTTTATTATTCACATATTTCATAAATGATTTTGGTTGTTTTAGTTTAATGGATCTTTATAGTGAGACTAAAACAAATGTTTTAGGTAAAAATAGTTATTTCGAAAACAAAATATACCAAAATGTTTCATTAAATATAAAAATTATAAAAAAAATAGTTTTAAAAGAACATTAACAGATTCATTGATAATAACAATATAACGTTTCTATTGCTAATGCTAGAATCAAGGTTAAAGAGTTAGGCGTTCAGCAGAGTGATTGCCTAACTGCTTTAGCCTATAATAAGTATTTAAAAAAAAAAACATTCGTTCCCGAAATCAAACTACCATGTACATCGTTATCAATGGGGAAGTATTTAAAATAAAAACGAAAGCACTAAAAAGCACCTCCTCTAGCAAAAATTAGATTTTTGCAGGAAACGAATGGACCTGAGACATAAATTGCCGTTGTGCTTCCTTAAGATTGGTTCCTTAAGATTGACTGGTTTTTTTTTGTTTTTATTGCTAGAAAATGGCTCTGTAGGCAAAATGGGGTAACTCTTGCCCCCCAATGAGAAAAATGATGTTCTTGTTTGTTTTCCGTAAAAATAGCCGAACAACGAAATTTAAACGCTAAATGACGAAGAGTCTCATCATCAGAAGATGAAAGTGAAGAAGAGGGAGACAGGCTATGCGTGTATTGTTCGGAAGTATATTCTGTTTCCATTGAAGGGTGGATATCAAGCTCAGTATGTGGAAGATGGTCTCATAATAGCTACGTAGGAATAGATAATGATGTTGATGAAGCCATGCACGTCTGTGAATACTGCCAGCCCTAAGTAATCAACTTTCTCTGGGATCATTTTCATCACCCCATTTTACCTCAAAGGGGTACCCCATCTTACCAGCACCATGGGGAAAGACGGGGCAAAACACCTTTTTTTTATTCATATTTTTTTCTCTAAAATATGTTACTAAAAGTTGCTACTGACACCAAATATTGGAATAGTAACAATAATTCCTTATTATAAAAAATAAATATGATTATTTCATTGTGTATTTTTTTATTTTATCGACCTTCATAGCTTAAGTACCCCATCTTGCCACCCTTTCCCCTACTCCTGTATGTTAAATTATTATCTTATATTATGTGTAGGTATAAATAAGAAATATTAAATTATTATGATCATTTTTTTTCTTAGCTAATGATATCTAAAGAAAAAACATCAACAATATTTTTATTGGCCCTTTTCTCATATCTATAGTTAATACGCAATTTCAATTTGATTTCAAGAAATCTTACAGACAAATGACCATTGCCAGAAAACTCATTTTGAATCAAGAGAAATATTATTATGCATACCCATTAGGTGGTAGGAATTATGTCGAGCTTCTCTGTGCTTCAGAAGGCACGTGAAGCTGTTGGACTCAGCTGCATTATCAGTCCACATTGGGTCCGTGTGGTGTTCATGGCCCATTCTCCGTTCGATTCGACTCTATACATAGGGAAAGCCTATCTGTGGTCCAGTATTGGTGACATTAATAGGCTGATGATGATGGTGATTGGAATAAGAGTAGGTAACCGTGAATAACGTGATACTTCATTTTTATGGATATAATGTACTTCCATTGATCAGATTGTGATTCATTCTCCCTGTTAAATTTTCCATTTATGCCCACTGCACTTTTTAGGTTAAGTTTTATCACATAAGAGCGCGCGCCATGACTATTGTCCTCGAGAAATAGATTAAGAAAGAGGTCACCCTTCTTGTAAGGTGGCAAAACACAATAACAAAATTTGCGTTCAGGAATAGACTAATATTTTAAAAAGGAACGTTTGGGAAAGTGTAAAGCTGCAACACCCCCTTTAATCCGATCAGCTGAAGATCGTAATAGGCCTTCAAATTAGACACACACTAATACAGGTTTTAGACGTAGGTATGATGCTAGGAGAGATTAAGATTATAAATGGGCAACAAGTAAATTTCTGATGAAAATCCCAATTGGGTATCTTACATAATCCAAACGTGGCAAAAACGATTAATAAATAATTTTTTATATTTTTTTATGAATGTGTTTTAATGAGTTGGTGATGATAACAGATTTCGTGCGTGGAATATACAATAAAATAGAGATGATATATGTAAACCATATTAAGTTAAGATTTAAACAAACCCACAGTAACCATAAACATTAATTTAGAATACCAAACAGATTTGGTATTACCTTCATGTGAATTATCTACATAGCTCAAACTAGTTATGGAAGTAGAGATAAGCAATGAAGTCATACCAATATTATATAGGCCATTCTGCCATTTCGTTGGAATCGTATGTTGCGTTAGAGTCAGTGTACAAAAATAAGTAAATGGAAATTGTTTGAATGGAAATGAGTACATTTTGAAGCAATGTAGAAGTTTTGATGTATCTGTAATTTAGTACATATGATTAAAAAACACATCGTAAAATCATTCCCATCCAATATTCCAGCACTTGTACTCATTCATCAACATCAGCCCTTTTACGTCCCCACTGCAGGGGCTATGCGGATTGGAGGGTATTAACGACTGCAAATGCCGGGACAAACGGCTTAACGTGCCTTCCGAAGCACGGAGTAGCTCGAGATAATAATTTTTTGGTCACCCATCTCGTGACCGACCCTTGCGAAAGTTGCTTAACGACAACGATCGTGGGCCGCGGCGCTTATCCACTACGCCACCGAGCTACTCTGTACTAATTACCTACCCTATACTCATTGTGTGAAGTTAATTGCTGCTAAAATATTTTTATAAGACTTATATTTTTGCTAGCTATGCCCGCGACTTCGTCTGCGTGGGAAAGTATATCAGGAGAATTCTTTCTTTCCTATGGATGGGTATGAATCGAGTGGGATCAATGGTCTATAACGCACTACCCGGGCCCAATGTGAATTGGTGGGTGTTAATGACTGCTGTTGCAGCCGGGTCCAATGGCTTAACTTGCATTCGGAAGCTCGGAGGAGCTCAGGAGAATAATGTTTTAGTCATCCACCCTATGAACGGCCCTTACGATAGTTATTTTTCTATGTTTTTTCTCACTTCTCTCTCTGCTCTTGTGTCTGACCATTTTTATCGTACATTAGGTATACTCGTATTAGTGGTACTTTCACAACTATTCCAAAGCAGCCAAGTATGGGGACAATGCCTGCAATGACAGTCCCACCACGAGGCAGTCCTGAACCTTCAATCCCGTCATAATTCCAACAACCCCATCCCTCCCATCTTCCCCTCCTAACCTCTCCTTCCATCCTATCTCAAATCTTTCCTAGAGGAGACAACCTCGACTCCAAAAACCCCAATCCAAGGTGTCACTCGTACCGTGCCGAGGGATGAATGGCTGAGGGTAAAGTAAAGGTTAAAGAGGGATGAATGGCTCAAGATATTTTCCATAACAATGAATGCCCCAGATTCAACTTGATAGTGCCTGAGCATCGCTATGGGTATTTAAATACACTTCGCGCCCGTTAAGTATCTCCGGTGGCCGAGCTCTCCGAGAGCTCAAGTGACTTTCTTTGTCAATAAAAGTCTTAGGGTCGACAGACATGCCGCCACGTATCTTTCATCAGATATGCGCGTCAAATAGTCGCAGAACATCAGAGCACTAAAAAAATTAAATGATTTTAAATTCGACCATGCACACTCGGCGGAAGTCGTGTACTAACATATACTTCCGTGAGGTGCTTGACTGAGCTCCGTCAGTTTTGCACCGATCCTCAAACTCATGTAATATTGCATGAGATCATGCAATACTACATGAGTCTGAGGACCGTCTACGTGACCGGTTAATAAACCTGTATCTCCAGTGAAGACTGCAAATTCTTACATGTTAACGAAAGCCTACCACAATACAATGGTGAAAACTGCTTTAAAATAGGTTCAACCGTTTCTGAGATTGCGTGCACAAACGCACAGATAAATAGGCAAACCGACAAACAGACAAAAAAATTAAAATCATTGTTTTATGTTCTATTACGTTTGAAAATTCCCTTCATAACTGTTTTCTTTTATATATTTTTTATATAGAAAATTTACTATGAGTGAAGTAGGAAACGTAAAGGTAAGAATTTTTCATACCTATTAAAATTTTGATATGAGTTGCTTATTATGTCGTTGTATGGTTTATTTTGATTATGGTTTAGATGATTAAGACTTTTGATTTGCTCATTAGTTAAGTTTTTGCTAAATTGATTAGTCTCAAACGCCGCATTGTGAAATTATTCACTGATTTGAAAATGAAAGGTAGTTTTTACGCCTATTAAAAATTTGATAAAAACTTATATTATTATTACGTTGGTATGTGATTAATTTGATTTTGATTAATAACATATACAACGTGTTCTAAGGTTTATAAATGCTGTATAATCTTTTGAAAAACCATACAAACTTCCTAATTATAATTGTTGGTATTTGAAAATATTTTTTGATTTGAATAAGTGAAGGTTGGTTTAGTATTCTTTTGACAAATTTTTCATATAAATGTTAGTGCTATGTCGATATTGATAGATATAACAATATACACATAAAAACCTGATTATAATTTGAATATTTCATAACCTTCCTACCTCTTTTACATCCTCAATATCTTCATTACCATCATGAATTAGCTCATTACC